CAGCAGGAAGTGGATTTCTCAGCAATCCCAACAACACATGCCAGAGCCCCACAGCCCTTTCACCATCTCTGTGACACTTCCCAGCTTCCCCTGAAACAAAAAGCCATCAAACAAAGGGAGATGGGAAAAGCAGGTGAATGGATCCAGCTCTCCTGCCCCATCCCATTGGGATGTTTCATTTTGGATGCACGTTCACAACTCTCAGGCACCTTCTTGACAAAGGCATTTTAAATGAGATCGGTGTTTTCCACCCCCAGCTTGTTATTTTGAAAGGAAGTGGCACCCATGGCAAGTGTCAGGCTCGTGTTTTGTATAACCCAAAGGGTCATCTGGAAAACAGATGCTGCAGGGCTGGGCTGCCTGACACTGCTGGGGCTGTTGCTGGAGTGCTGGCTCTGGCTGTGGTGTGGCACTTCAGGAAGGCTGCAGGCCACCTGGGGAGAGGACAGGGGGGAGGAACAAGGATGATCAGGAGCCTAGAAAATACAACCCACAGGAAGAGGGAAAAGAACAGCCTGTTTGTTTGTAAAGGGAGCCCTGCAGCAAGATGCAGTCACAGCTGCAACGAAGCTGTCCTGCTGCAAAGGGGCACTGGGGGTTCTGTTGCTTTCCTCTGCTGGGGCAAAAAGAATAAAGAGCAGGAAGGATCTGAGTTAATACAAGGTCAAGGAAGGTACTGAAAGTGTGAGGAGGAATTAAGCACCAGGAGGCTGGGGAATTGCCAGCACTGCAGGCTACACAAGTATCTGCCAGGAATAAATCAAGGGTAATTATTTCTGCCATGGGGCATATGGTTGAGATCTGATGCTTCTTAAGATCTCCATGGAGGCCCTGGACAGTTCCTCAGCTTGTACCTTGACAGCAAAGCTCATGAAAAAACACCCACGCTTAACATAAGTTGAGATGTATTTAAAATGAGATAAAAATAAGAGCACTGGAAGTGGCCTTCTTTCAAAGAGCATCAAATCCCAGCTCCTGCTCAACATCATCTCAAAACAAGTTAGGTGTTGTGTTCATTTGGGTCTTCTCAAACTTGTCTGGTCTTATAGTTTGAAATTGTTTTCTGCTTTTCAGCCTGAATTCAACTCTTGATGGTATGAGATGGTACTGCTCTTGGGCTTTTTCCTTTTCTTCAGGTTAAACAGGAGTGTCCAGCAGGAGCAGGGAGGTGATGGTGCCCTGTGCTGGCACTGGTGGGGCTGCAGCTCCAGCTCTGGGTGCTCTGGGTGGACATGGAGGGGCTGGAGCAGGTCCAGAGGAGAGACACCAAGCTGGGGAAGGGGCTGGAGAGCAAGACATACAAGGAGCAGCTGAGGGAGCTGGGGGTGTTTAGTCTGAGGAAGAGGAGGCTGAGGGGAGACCTCATTGCTCTCTGCACCTACCTGAAAGGAGGTTGTGGGGAGGTGGGAGTTGGGCTCTTCTCCCAAGTCAGTAACTACAGGACCAGAGGAAATGGCCTGAAGTTGCCCCAGGGGAGGTTCAGGTTGGACATTAGGAAGAATTTCTGTACTGGAAGAGGCCCTGGAACAGCTGCCCAGGGAGGTGGTGGAGGCACCATCCCTGGAGGTGCTCAGGAAACGTGTGAATGTGGCACTTCAGGGCCTGTTCTGGTGGCTGAGGTTGTAGGTTGTGTGTTGTGGGTTTTTGGGGGTTTGGTTTTTTGTTTGTTTGGTTGTTTTTTTATGGTTGGACTAGGGGATCTCAGAGGTCCTTTCCAACCATGACTATTGTGTGATTCTGTGATTTAAAAATAGAAGAAAACCAAAAAGTTTCGGTGCTTCATATTTAAATTCTTGCAAGAGATTCATGAGCCACATGCACTGCTGCTCCTTTTTTAAAACTCCTTCCTCCTCAGTGGTTCATCCCTCAAACTACTGGATTGTTCTTTCCCTCTGTCACTGCAATTAGTTTTGTTTCCCAGTTTGAGAACTACCAAGTTCAGTGCTCACTTCCAACTCCAGTGAAAGCCACAGAATAACTTTCAGACAGTGTTTCTTGACATATCTGTGGAAAGAGTTAAGGAAAGTTGTGTCCTCCTTTCCCAGTTTATATAAGAATTGTCTGGGATATATTTAAATGTGGAAAACTTGGAAGAAAACTTAAGAACACGCTGTCAGATGAATGTCTTGAAGTGTCCACATACAGCTGCAGAACATCTTGTTGGTGGAGGGTTCTGCTGGGATTTGCAGACAAAACCTGCCCTTCCCAGCTCACTTGGGAGACAGATGAGTCGGGCTGGACGTGTTGCTGCATTGACACTGCAAGTTGCACAGATTCAAGCAAGGCTGAAGCTGAAGCATGTGTCTAATGTTGAGGCAAGACAGCAGCAAAGATGAACCCAGAGATGCTGTCAGATACTGTCATTATTAGACCTGTTTGCTTCTTTATGTCCTTTCTTTATCAAGTAGCTTTTTCAGGACCAACAGTTAACTTCAGTGAGAAAAAAATAGTAAAAATTAGTAATTCCTTCTTGCATGAGTGTCTTCCTTAATAATTTCCATGTGCTAATCTATTGCAAATCATCTCCAAGCTGGTATCTGCTGTGTGCTTTTATGAGTTAGTCAGTACTGACACATCCCTCTGACCTTGTGGGGTTGGCACCCGCCGGCCACAGGACAAACCAGTTCCCTGTGCTGCAGACATCTGGCTCTGACAGACCAGCCTTGAGCTATCAGCTCACCTTGCAGGATCACCTGGGGGTATTTCCATGGATTTGCAGAGAGAAAAGGTGGCCTGTGCAGAGCAAGGCATCCACACTGTGCCTCTTGCAGAAAGAGAAATCTTTGTGTCAGTCTAAGAGGATTCTCTCAATCTGTATCAGTAATTTGTCCTTTTAAATTACCAGTGAGTGATACTGCTGTTGAATTTTCCCTTTCCTTTGGCTTCCCTTCCTTCCCTCATGCCTCTTTATTGTTTCTAGGTTCCCAAAAGATGCCACAACTGTGTCATAACTCCAAGCCAGCAAAGGCCAAGTGCCAATCTCCTTCAGCTCATGAGAAATAAATGTTCCAGAACAATGTGCTCAGCACTGTCTCCTCCACTCAGCACCACCCTGGAGGTTCATACTGCCATCTTCACAGCTCAGGCCAGGTAACCTCAGATACCCCTCCTGGATATTGATGTTCAGAAAGCCTGCCACCAATATGTTTTCAAAGAATAATGCTGAATTAGGCCTCGTTCCAAAAGCTTGGACGTGTGTTTCTTGGGCATTAAAGCAGATAAAGCACCAATCCTCCAATCTAGAAAGGGGAAACAGAAGCTCCTGCTTCTCCGCAGTGAGACAAGTCTCTGCTTTCTTGTTTTGCTGGCAGAGGTGGGTGTTTTTGCTGTGCAGTGTGGTGGGACAAGCAGTGTGTGGGAACATCACTGTGGTAGAGACTGGTGAAGAGACTGGCAGGGGGGGTTTCTTGGCCCGGCATCCCAATCTG